AAAAATGTGTAAACTTCTTTTGTGTGGGAGTCCCCATGTTAACTAAGAAAGAATATAATGATTAATAATGTCTTGTCTTACTGAATAACGTAGGGAAGAACAAGAAATGCCACCAAATCGCATAGAAGACAGTTCTGTTTTGTGATCAAGAATTTTGGTGGCTTCCCAGAAATCCTTGAAATCACGGCTCTATTTTCATCACACACCATCTTACACCTCGATCTGCTGATGTAATCGTAGTTCCGGCTGAAACTATTAAGGCGGGGGTACACATGAATTTAAGTGAAAATTTAGGTTTAAAGAGGGATTAAAAGGGAAAAAAGGGGTTTGGAACACCACCAGACAGTTGATTGCCTCCAAAAGGGCACACCGGGTTGGTGGGCAACTGTTTGGTGTACGTCTACCAATTTCTAACTTCAAATTCTAATTTTAAAACAACAACAAATCTTCAAAATTTCCTATTTCCATAAATTTTACTAATCCTTTAAGAGAAACTATTTATCCCCAAATACACCCAAAAATCACCAAAAAATTTACAAAAAAGCCCAAAACGTAGCTATGTGAAATGAGCAGAGAGATTTTTCACCGCTTGAAACGTGAACGAGATATTTACATTCAAACCATAATACTCAGCAAAAATATGGCCTTCATGTTAACCCCCGCCTTAAGCAAACCACGACGGCAACGGCAACGAGGACGCCACAAAAACAAATAAGTTAATGAGCAGAACAGTGGCTGTGCCCGTGCGTTATTAATCTGCCGTCCTCTGTAAAACAACGTGAAATGACTAAGTTCTGCGTATTTCGGGGAACGTGAATGACAGTGGCTAATTTTTCGTATTTTCATTGGAATTGTACACCGGCATTACATATTAATCTTGAGCAAGTAGGCCCACTGAACAGATCAAGGCATCTGCGAAATTCGAAGAATTTAAAGTATTTTTTTTACAAGACGTCGTCTTTGGGGTCGCCGTCGTTGTTGCTCTAGCTCCCGAGCAGGGAGTTTTAGCAAACCACGAGGGAGACGGCGACGAGAGTCTCACCAAACAAAACGTGCGTTATAATTCTTGGTACATTTCTTAACCGTCCTTTCCAAAACAACAACGTGAAATGACTAACTTCTACGTATTTTGGAAAACGCGAACCGCAATGGCTAATTTTTCGTATCTTTTTTTGGAATTGAACGCTGTCATTGCATATTTAGCCTGAACAGGGTTTTAGACTGATAGGCGTACTGAACACATTTACACAGTTGCAACATTCGAAGGTAAAAATTAATTCTATTTTACAAGGCGTCGTCCCCTCCATCGCCGTCGTCGTTGCTAAAATTCCCTACAACGCACAGAGTGGGCTTCAACCAGAAGTCTTGCAAGTGGTATGGACAATGATTATATAACTAGGGATGGGTGGTTGTGGCTATAGCCAGGAGGGTCTAACTATAACCAGGGGCTTATAGTCGAAAGGGACGGTGGACCTTTACCCAGGGGGGGGGGGGGGTAACTGAAGTTTTCAGACAAGAAAGGAACTGCACAGATAATTCTTCACACCATAACTTTATTTAGACACCATCTATTTCTACCTAAAAATTAATTATCAATTAATATATTTATCTGTGTCTTGCAAATTCAATATGATCCTTGTTCTGTAAGCACACCATTTTATTCCTCTACATTGCTTATATTTCCATTTCTTGACCAAAATTTTTACAACTCATAATTCACGTGGACAGCAATATTGTGTGGTAGCACTCTGCTTAAATTACAATTCCAATTACAAAAATAATCTTCTTATAAAGAAAAGCATTAGCAAAATAAAATTTTAATTAACTTACTTAAAGCAACATTGTATGAATATTGCATAATGACTAGTGGCAACAGAGATGGAATAATTACTGTCTAGGGATCTCTGAAATAATTTGCACTGCTTTGTATGTTATATTGATGAGTTGGGTAAAGAATATTGGGGAACTGAAACTGGCTAGTCACTCCTATTCTTGTACAATTAATTGAAAATTTCCTTGCATTTGTGTTACAAATAAAATGCTTGAATTCTTTCATTTAATGTGTTCTGTATATTGCTTCATTTCTCATTAACTCATAAAACTTTTATTTGCTGATAATTTAATAATTGATTTAGAACAAACCCGCAAATTTTAACTATTTTACCAGGCTATTGTTATTAGTAGGGTAAAATTATTTAAAACCCATCTTAGTTTTACGTTACGAATCTAAGCTAACTACAACATGTTATAAAATCACTTATAATCTCCAAAAGATGTACAAAGGTCTTCCCATTTGCAAGAGAAAGATTGAATGAGTGTTTGAAATAGTCGCCTGGGAAAACATTTCCCACTGCACAAGTGATTATCGATTCCGAAAATTATGCTCAAAAAAAGCGTATTGACGATTTGACGTTAAGTCTAAGTCATTTCTCTTGATAAATACCTTTAATTGGTTTTCATTTGGTTAACATTTTTGTGCATGGGCAAGAACCAGACACCTTAGTTGCAGGGTAGTTTGGCTTGAACATCAAGAACGTCTTCTCATTTGGTCCTTTGTGTTCAGACTTGCCCAATCAAATTGATTCTATACAGCAGGGAAGACATTTTAAGGATATTTAAATGCAGGATTGAGTACCCTCATTCATCTATAGCTTCAACATCGGGGTAGTTAGCCGAGAGGCGATAGCTGTTTCGTTTTGCCGTTGGGCCACCCTCGTCAGTTGGAGTACCAGGTGGACTTGTACTGTTCACCAGACGCCACTGTAGTTCTTCATTTTCCAAGGAAAGTCTCTTGCTCTTTGCAGATTCTCTTTCTAAGCTGTTCCTTAATGTGTCTCGCTCAACAGAAAGTTGCCTGAAATTAAGTAGAAAAAAAAATCAAAACTTTGTAAAGGTCAGTTTATAGGGTAACATTTGTCAGCAGCAGAAGGCAGAACTAAATTTTTATTGGATTCTTACAAAATATGGTATCAATAAATCAACTTGATTCAACTGATAGATTTTTTTTTAACATTTTCATCACAAAGGTGTGTTTAAGACCTAAAGAGATGTAAGCAGCAGGAGGTAGATTCATCACTAAGTCACCTTCATGATTCTCAGATCCATTTTAATCTTACTCACAACAACAGATTTTTTGGGGGGGTGGGGGGCGGGGGCGGGGCTGGGGGAGGGAACAGGAGGGAATCACAATGCTAGATGTTTTGATGGGAGCACATGTTGCCGGGAATCAGAAATAAAACATGTTTATACATAAATGTAAATAAAATCTAACTAAACTTTTATCACAAAAATTATACTCCAAGGTTGTGCACACCTCTCAAACCTGGACTTTGACTCCACTACAAATGATAATGATTCATTTTCTTGCTGCAATTTCTTTGTCTGCGCTATGACATCTTCAAGCTTCTCCAGCTGTATAAAAAGTACACAAAAATAAATTGATGATAACTTAGCAACTTATTAACCAACATAATAATATGCTCAGATTTGAAAGATATTCATTAACAGTCTGTAAAATTAATGGGCTTGTTTCTTGGTTCACTTTTTTTTAAGGAACAGCTTATCCTCGACTTGAATACATTTTTCAGAGCTGTAAGTACAGTTCTAAGCTAAAATTTTGGACAGCTGGATTGAGTAAAGTTAATAGATAATCTCTGGAAGATGGAAGAGAAAATTCTACAACTTATCTTTTGAGTATTCCAAGACTTTTCCTGGACACTCTATCTAAACCAATAGTTTTTGTTTTCTAATAAACTAAGGTTTAAAGGAATACTTATGAGCCAAAAATTAAAGTATAAACTAAAGGTCTAACTTCTACATCCTCGGCCAAGCACTGAAAAGGTTGCAAAAATGGAGCCCAATTTGCACCACCATTGCCAGATGAAAATATAAGTGACCTACCAGATTAAAAAAAAAAAAAACTTTCCAGACTGCTTATTCAACCAATCCGTTTGTGTGATTTGGTTAATCTGGACATTGAGCAGGGAAATAACAATATGATTGATAACTATGATTAAAAGGAACACAGATTTTTACCTCCAGATGCTTTTCCAACTTTTCCTTCCTCAGCTGTTTAATTTCCTCATTCTTCATCTCCAGCACGGCTTTTATGCTCTCAAGTTCTGCTGGTAATGACTCATACTTTTTGACGGCCTCCTAAAATGATCACAGTTGAACAAACCAGAGCCTGTTGATGACTAACAACTCAAAATATAATTAAGAAAGACAATGTTTTCTACACTTGCAGTGCTATACAATAATTATTGTTGAAACAACTAACTGGAACAACTTTGTTGAAACACTGACAGAGTCCTAAATTCTTATCATTCAAAAATAATAAAAAATAAGACAAATGTTTGTGAGTACTCCAAACTTTGCCACACCAAAAAAGAGCAAGTTGATTTGCAACCTAACAATGACAACTGAACTCCAGACAATATTTTGTTCTCGACTGGAACTTGTCCTCTTAACTGTTGATACAAAACTTGAGTAAGGATTATTTTTTAATAACAAAATCATTATTTAGTAGAATTCTACTAGGATACTAGTACAAATGCTACGATCTGATTGGCTGAGGTACTCACAGACTATCAGTCATTAGAGTGCAGTAGCTGTTGATTGTCTACAAAATGGCCATGTTTTTTTGTTTTCCCGAAGTTATAGAGGAACATTTAGATGCAAATGGATAATTAAATTCCTGAGAAGATTAAAAGACGGTTATTAACAGTGTTTTGACTTTAAAAACTTGAAATTATTGAAAAAATGAGTGCATGCTCGTAAACAACTGCAAATTTCCAATGACAATTCAGTCCGATCAATTTCGCCAATGCATGAAGGTTAATATTTATGTAGAAAAATAATTGGAAACCAGAATTTGCGTTTATTTCAGTTAGAATTCTACTAAAACAATTAGATTATTCGCTCTCGATTTCTACGAGTCAATAGTTGATTCGGCCTTTGGCCTCATCAACTATCACCTCATAGAAATCTCAAGCTCATAATCTAATTGTTAAATAGCAACCTGAATTCTGGTCTCAATGTCCCTTTGATTGTCATCCTGAAGTTGCAGAAGCTTGTTACTCAAAGAGCCACGCTCATTCACTAGTTTGTCATATTTTTCCTGAAAACAAGGAAGGAGAAAAAGAAAAAAAAGGTGACAAACATCATCATCACATTTACAAACAAATTTTTCTGCCTTCATTAACTAACAGGACAATTACCAAATGACACTCTGAACAGTGCAAGCAGTCCTACCTTGAAGTCTGACTGCTGTTCTTCATAGTCAGCCTTGATGGTTTCAATCTCCACTTGGTGTTCTTCAACAAGTTCTACAAATCAAAAATAGTGTGTTCACTTCTTGCACTTTGTGATGGCCAAGTTCCTAATCAAGTTACTTGGGCTGAAATACTCTGAGACTCAAG